AGCTTATACCAAGTGGTAATAAGCATTTTTTTCTGCCTTTTTGACACACAAAGCAAGTTTGCGCAGTATATTTTGCAAATCTTACGTGTACTACGACTGTATACTACTTCATATGTTGCTCAGCTATGTCGGCTGAGTACAGCAATACCCCCATATGTACCTTTACCAGGTATATGTGGACATTGAAGGGGCACATTTGAGACACAGCCATTCCAGTTTTTTTCAAACTTTGAATTTTTACGCTGTGTCCATGTCCCATTTTAGAATATTTTACAAGGCTATATAATCCAATTACCCCATAAAGGCATACCATTTCTTAAAGAAGACATCCCAGGGCAATTCAAAAGGCATATTTTGAACCTTAGCGTGGGATCATTTTTCCGCTAGCTTGTACCAAGTGTAGTGGTAATAAGCATTTTTTCTGCCTTTTTGACACACAAAGTGAGTTTGCGCAGTATATTTTGCAAACCTTATGTGTACTACGGCTGTATACTACTTCATATGTTGCTCAGCTATGTCGGCTGAGTACAGCAATACCCCTGTATGTACCTTTGCCGGGTATATGTGGACATTGAAGGGGCACATTTGAGACACAGCCATTCCAGTTTTTTTCAAACTTTGAATTTTTACGCTGTGTCCATGTCCCATTTTAGAGTATTTTACAACGCTATATAATCCAATTACCCCTTAAAGGCATACCATTTCTTAAAGAAGACATCCCAGGGCAATTCAAAAGGCCTATTTTGAACCTTAGCGTGGGATCATTTTTCCGCTAGCTTGTACCAAGTGTAGTGGTAATAAGCATTTTTTCTGCCTTTTTGACACACAAAGTGAGTTTGCGCAGTATATTTTGCAAACCTGAGTACAGCAATACCCCCGTATGTACCTTTGCCAGATATATGTGGACATTGAAGGGGCACATTTGAGACACAGCCATTCCACTTTTTCTCAAATTTTGAGTTTTTACGCTGTGTCCATGTCCCATTTTAGAGTAGTTTACAAGACTATATAATCCAATTACACCATAAAGGCATACTATTTCTTAAAGAAGACATCGCAGGGTAATTCAAAAGGCATATTTTGAACCTTAGCTTGGGATCATTTTTCCGCTAGCTTGTATCAAGTGTAGTGGTAATGAGCATTTTTTTATGTATTTTTTTACTTTGTAAAACTTTTTTTAATTTGTAAAACCCGTTTTTAAACTTTTTTTTATTTATTAAATGTTTTACACTTTCTTAACTTTTTTTACACTTTTAAATTTTTTTCTAAACTTTTCTTTTACCGTTAACCCCTAACTAGCAGTAAGCAACACTAACAGTAAATTCCCCCCTTTCCCATAACTCCTACCCACTCCAGCTAGCAAAATATATATAATTATAAAATATTTATATTAATTAATTAAATAAATTGATCCCCTGAGGGTTAAAAAATAAATAAAAGTTAATCCTCAGTGGTTAAAAGAAATTAGATTACAGTATAATACTGTGATTTGTATTTTGATCACTGTAGGCAGTGATCAACTGGCAGGGAAGGGGTTAATTTTTATTTAGACTGGGTAAAGGGGGGTGGTATTTTTTTTTTACTTAAACGTTACTAAAACATTTGTTTTTACTTTTTTTACCTTTTTAAAGCTTATTTTAAAACTTTTTTAACATTAACCCCTTGTTAGCCTAACACCAAATTCCCAAATTCCCCACTAACTTCCACCCATCCCAGCTAGCTAAATATATAATTTTTTAATATTTAAATTAATTAATAAAATAAATTTAACCCCTGAGGGTTAAAAAAATAATAATTAACCCTCAGGGGTGAAAAAAAAAATCAGATGACATTAAAATGTATACCCTGCCAATTGATCACTGTAGTCAGTGATCAATTGGCAGGGAAGGTGTTAATTTTATTAAAGCAGGGGAAAGGGGGGTGGGATTTATCTTTATTTACTTTAATTTTTTTTACACAGGGAGAAGAGGATCAGCTCTGATCCGTCTCCCTGCACTTCACACAGAACCCGGAAGTGCAGGGAGACGGAAGGTGAGTACACTGAGCACATGTGCTCGCTCTGACAGCCGGAGCACCGTTATCCCCGCGATCACCGCGATCTGGGGTTAACTTTAGTAAATGACGGAAATTTCCTTCTGCGGTCGGGAAGAGGTTAATTGAGGGAATGTCAGAAGTACATGTAAAGATGATGATAAATAAGAAAATTTATGAATTTATGTTGTAAATGTAGATGTTTATAAATTGGAGAGCAAAATTTACAATTGTTGTACGGGGATGCTGAGATTTTATTGATTGTGACCCAAACTGTGCAGAAGTGGGTTTGAAATTTTGGTCATGGAATGTAGGATCAGAAAACCATGGACAAAAGTTTTTACCTGTGTTGTTATGACTTTTGGGAACTCAAATTGACCGGTCAACATTTTGCCATGCCTTTAACATGGAGTAGTATCATAATATTTTGAGTCTCTGAGAGTTCTGAAAAATGCAGGTGATACCATGTCTGTGTAATCTGGTCCAAATGTTCTATAAGCGTATAAGAGAGAAATTCTATTGACAGGGTACATATGTTGCAACTGGTTAATGCAAGTGTTATACAAATGTTTAAGTCAAACGCGTTATATGGCCGTACGGGATCCCTTCTTTAAAAAGAAAAAAAAAACTTTGGTACCAGAACTCTTAACTAAATTTGATACAAACTAAAATTGGTATACCTTACAATAATATGTTCTGAATACAGCTGTTAAAAGTTTATTCTGTGTAAATGGTGATTGTGATAAATGTGTGTTTTGGTTACTCATTTTGAAGTATGCAGTTTAATTGTCATGTATGTTAATGGGTATTTTGCTGTGTTATTTTAAATTATATTTGAATAAGTTTGTCTCAGTATTGATTCGGATGTAAATGGCAGCGTAATAATCTAGTAAATAACTGATTTATTATTGAATACTAGTCCAAGAGCAATATGAGTTGTAGTCTTAAATAAAAAAAGGGGGGGGGGAGGCTGTTTTTGTAAGTTTTAGCTGATTTCCAAAATTCTGTTGCAATAATGGACTTCTTGCCAAAATTCGACTTGCCTGTCCAATTGCCAGGTTCTCTGATCTAATCTTAAGGCAGTACTGCTTGCATAGTTTGCAGAAATGCATAATGCACAAACATGGGAACCTACATTATGTCTGTGTTTCTTTCGAGTGTGACGTTTATTAATTTATTTTGGATTGAGTTAATTGCCTGTCCATGAATATGCTTTTTGTATTGGCATGCCTGCTGGATATCTGCTACATTCGCTGGGTTCTGTGTTATAAGATGACATGTGTGATATTACAATGAGTATGAAGAATATTTAAGGAATATTTGCATGTCATTAACGCAAGCCTTTAGTGTCTTTTTACAACAGATGAAAAAACGCTGATCAGTCGACAAGAAAGGGGCCCCTGAAAAAAAAATAAAAAATCATCTGCTTTTCAAAATTGTGGATCCACGTTTCCAATTTTAAATGTCTCTCTCTCTCTCCGTATTATTAGGGGAGTATTTAGAGTTAACTCTACTTTTAAAGTGAATTGCATTATGTAAGTCAAAGAAAAAGAAAAATTTGTTATCTTTAACATAAACAATTGTTATGTTATATGGTAATATAACAAGAAAAATAAATGGATGTTTAGGATAGGTTTTTTCCAAGATTAAGATTCATCTAGTATCCTGGACCTAAGGGTAACAATGGTGAACCCGGTGCTAAGGGAAACAATGGAGAACCCGGTGCTAAGGGAGAACCTGACCCAGCTGGCGTTCAAGGACCCACCCTGGCAGGTTCCTCAATACCAACCACAGGTTCCAAACTATACCCACACCCAACAACCCCAACCTAATACACAGAGGGTTCATGTTTTTAAAACATTATATATAGATAGAAAAGTATTAATGCTGGCTCTTAGAGGATGTACAAGCTGAAGTTGGGACCTAGACATTGTTTGCATAGGCTGCGCAATGTGAAATAATTAAAATAAAATAGGATAATAATAAGTATGCTTAGTCAATTTGTAACGTGGTATAATAGAGGAATCTGCAATAAAATAAGTGGGTTACCAAGACCTGACAAGTGAGGGTAACTTAATATAACAAATGTCTACAGTTTGCTGTCCCTTCCTTATCAGAGGCCACTTGCAACCTTAACACAGCAAGACAACTCTTCCGAAACCTGTATTAAACAAAGCACTTTAGAACAATAGTAATTAATTTTGTTTCTCCTATTTCATTCCTAGATGTTCTGAAGAAAAAAAAAAGATTGTTTAAGGGGGGTAACTGTACAGTATTAAAACACGCAAATACAGAACTGGTGGCTTTTTGGACATCGGGATCTATAAAAGGTTTTGATTTCCAAAGATGTTATCAGGGTCCACAAAATTTCTGACAGACTTCAGCATTCCAATTTTATTAAAGTAATTAATTGAGATTATCAAATCAAGGTTTACGTTTAAGAACAGCATTTTATTGGGAATTATTCCAATATGTATATGTTAGTGTTTTAGTACTCAACAAGCATTTATATAGTGTAAGTGCTTCTCTCATTCATACAAAGGCATTCTAAAGGAAAATTATGTATTAAATTTTAATAAAGGACAAATTCAAGGAATTATAAGCAAAACTGAGAGAAGTACATGTTACCCTAGTTAAGAGTTTAACTTTAGTCTCTAATTCGAGTTTAGCCTAGATAAATAATTTAATTGATGTCGTACTGATCCTTGTGTTTGTATGATTATAGAGACCGTACTGGAGTATTTGTGCCGCCTGATATTTGGGACTACACACCAATCTCTCTGGCTGACCTACCTACCTACCTACCTATTTACAATTAAATCTGTTTGGTCAAAATCCATGCTGGCCGAAGAAACAGAGATGCTTACTTATGAGGACATAAACTAACTTGGAAAGTCCTGAAGGTGCAGTGCTGTCTAATGCCGCTATTTCTGTATTACCCTTTCAACAATTGGGGTGTTGCACAGAGTATTGTGGTGAACATCCAGCAAACAGAAGAATTAAGAACTATGTGGAAGCTGACATTGTCTTGTTGTTAGCCATATTGCTACCCTTAGCTATGTTATGGTGTCTAAGATTATGGAACAAAGTTTATGGTGTCTAAGATTCTTTATACTCCTTGAAAGACTTATTCTATTTTTCTGGACTATGCTGGACTATTGAACTATTTTGTTATTTTTGTAGAGTTAGCCAGAGAGAGAGGAAGTGTTAGCTTACTCAGGCATGGATGTACTATGTGTGTCATTGATATATGTTGAGTGTACAAAGTATGGATTCCCATTTATTAAGTGTAGATATGACTGGACCATCGAAATAGGGATGTGATTAGGAGGCATAGGATGCAAGGTCATGATTGGGATTATTGTTAGAATTGCAAACTGATTAAAAATTATCTCATGATTTAATATGTAAGTGGGCCTTTTCAAACTAATCAAAAAGTGTTTCCCAATCCCGATACCCGAGCTATTTACTTACAAGTGCGGGTTTTTATAAGTCACTAATGCTGTCAATGTGATAGGATGACATGTCTACACAGTCATGGCCCTCACTTAGAGTTTCCCCAGATGTGTTTTTTTCCTCAAATATGAGTTTTTGCCACTGGGTTTTTTGACCTGGCCCGAGTTCACTGGGTGGACTGGTAATCCAAGACCCTGGTCCAAAGAGGGGGAATAGATATTATTCCCATTTTGACTATATGTGTTTACGTTGTGAATTATAATAATAATATTCCCGTTGTTGGGAATAATACACTTTGCCTGTTTTGATCCAAGGTCAAGTTACAGATAACATGATGTGCAGTGTCTGTTTAAAATTGGTTAACATGTCAGCTGTTTGAAATATTTAACTTGTACACTTAAAAGATGTATTCAACAGATAATTGAAAAAGCTGAAAATTGACAGCACGAACTCCTCTTAAAGGGAAAACCTACGGCACAGAGCAAATGGGGGAAATCGAGGTGAAGAAATAACGAAAGTCCGGCAGACTTGATTAACACGTCTGAATATACCTCCTTTCGTTTCTCTGCCGCAGGCCTCCCATGGATATTTTCCGTAAGGTTGATCATGATATGATCTAAGAGGGGAATTGTAGATACAAATATCCATCAGTATCTATCCTAGCAGTTCATATAAGGGTTAATTTCAACCAAGAATAAATTTGGTATTGTATCTCCGATTCTCAGAAATAAAATTCCTGGTTACGGAAAAAGTACTGATTTCAAAATGTTCTTGTTAATTGTCCAAGATTTCAGTATTTGTAAATATCTGGTTTTTATCAAATATGCATGCGTTATATAACGTAGGATATAACTAGAAACAGCTGTTCATAACTTGTGAAAAACAATCTATGTCATTAATGCTCATGGCCCCAACGACATGAAAATAGGGTATAAATATAACTGATGTATAATAAAATGTGAATTGGTTATTGAACACATCTCTGCTATTCATTTCCAATTTCCAGAGCTCTGAATGAGTTGGCAAATATTCATCATCCACAAAGGGCCCAGGCTGATTTTATCCCCAACAGGGACACCCTAAAAGATCCAACATAGGACACCAATCCTCCAGCAAGACCCCTGTTGGAAAAAAATGGGGCTTTAACAAAATATGTCAGAGACTCGGCCGAGCCTCATACCGAGCCCAATGGCCCCATGTTGTGCCTAATCATTAAATTCATGAAGCACCAATATCCAAAAAGTAATAATCAATACCTAATAAGGTTTATAGCGATATTGGCGGGCACACAACCCAGTTCGGATAGAGTACATTGAGTTATAGGAAAGAGAAATCACACAGAGACCAAGTTGAATATAAGAATTCACACTACACTTTATTATCCACAAAGGGATCTAAGCAAAGTAAGTTTTACTCTCATTTAAGTAGTTGCATGCATTTACTTCAAACAGCTTAGTATCTAGATATATTAGCTTAAGTATACATCACCATTAGAGAAGCTTGGTTGTCTCCTTGCCACACATGACTGGGGGGAACTCAGGCAGTCACTCGGAGAGACCCTCTCTTCTGGGAACAGCAGAAACCAGTAACACGCATCCGCATTACAGGTGGGTAGTTCGCCAAGGGAGCGCAAGATTCCCTTAGTCTTATATACCTGTCTTCAAGGACAGTCAGTAGTTCCTTATCAGTGCAGCCCAGCAAAAGACCTTGATACAAGCAGCTGGATGGACCTGGCAGTTGGCCAGAGTCTTGTGCGGTTAATTCTTTCTTATCTACAAGCTTTCTTTGTACTGTTCTAGAGATGGAAACATAAGTTTTTGATGGCAACATAAGTTTCTCAAAGTGCTGAAGTGCTGTGTCAGCTTATAGTGCTGTGTCAGCTTAGTAAACAGCTGTAGTGCTGTGTCAGCTCTTAATAGCTATGGCGTAAAGCCTTCAAGCCTGCATCTAGTAATATGTGCTATGTGTGCTCATATGCTTACCGGTGCCATCTTAACGATCTATAAATGTTTGAGTTGCTCAATAGTGATCAATAAATCATACTTAATTAATATGGAATTTTATTATCACACCCCAATATGGCACCAGAGTCGCCTCCACTCTGCTCCGCCCCGGCAAGCCCATCAGGATCAGAGAACTTTGAAGATAATAATAAGGTAATGGAGGCCCTGCGACACTCTCAACAACCGCTTCTATATTGGGGCACTCCTGTGGCTATATACCCGGACTTATTATGGATGACGCTACAAGCCCGCAGGGCATTAAAGCCTATCACCAATCAGCTACACGCCAGAAACCTCCAATATCATTGGGGATTCCCCTTCGCCAGTGCCGCCATCAGGGGGTGACAACCATACCGGTTGTCATGGGCCCGGTGGCCCTGGGCGGCCCAGAACCGCACACTAATGGGGCCACCCATGCACTTAGGGCCACCCGATGGGCCCTATATCTTCAGGGGCCCGGTCAGTGTTGTGGCCATAGTATTGCGCGACCGGGCCCCTTTAAAAAAAAAGAAAAGCAGCCGCAGCAAGTGCTGCTGGGAGGAAGTTGTCACTTCCTCCCAGCTCACTCCGCGTGGGAGGAGTGCGTGCCCAGTAGTGAGGGAGAGCCATGCCGACTACACCCCTCAGCCCCAGCCACCCTCCTGCAAAGAAAACGTAAGAGACAGGAGGGTGGCTGGAAAATGAGCTGTGTGTGTGTCTATGTATGTATGCATGCATGTCTGTCTGTCTATGTATGTATGTATGTATGTATGTGTCTGTCTGTATGTCTGTATGTCTGTATGTCTGTCTGTCTGTATGCATGCATGTATGTCTGTATGCATGTCTGTATGTCTATGTATGTATGTCTGTATGCATGCATGTATGTCTATGTATGTATGTATGTCTATGTATGTATGTCTGTATGCATGCATGTATGTCTGTATGTATGTATGTCTGTATGTATGTCTATGTATGTCTGTATGTATGTATATCTATGTATGTATATATGTATGTATGTCATTATGTATGCATATCTGTATGCATGTATGTCAATATGTATGTATGTCTGTCAGTATGTCTGTATATATGCATGTATGTCAGTCTGAATGTATGTATGTATGTCTGTATGCCATTATGAATGTATGCCTGTGCATGTCTGAATGCCATTATGAATGTATGTGTCGATGGATGTCAGTGTCTGTATGTCTGTCAGTATGTCTGTATGTATGAATGTATGTGTGTATGTATGTGTGTATGTATGTATGTCGGTGTCTGTATGTATGTCGGTGCCTGTATGTATGTCAGTGTGTATGTATGTATCTATGTGTCTTTGTGTCCTCATGCATGTGTGTCTGTATGTATGTTAGTATGTGTCTGTCTGTCACTATGTATGTTAGTATGTGTCTGTATATGTGTGTATGTCTCAGTATGTGTGTGTCAGTATGTCTGTATGCGTGGATGTCTGTTTCAGTATGTGTGTCTGTTAGTATGTATCTGTGTCCTTTTGTATCAGTGTGTGTGTTTGTGTCTGTGTGTGTATTCCTGTGGGCGGTATTTGGAGGCAGACCCTGTGGGCGATATTTGGAGGTGAGCCCCAGGGGGCCCAGACCCTGAGCTGAGTTAGGGGCCCCAACATTTCTGGTGGTGGCCCTGCCCTTTGCACTTACTGCCACCTACCATGGCGCCTCTCACACTATCTCAAACCCACAAGATATACCGGTATTCCTGAGAGCACTGGACTTATCAGAGGTGCATATCACGGACTTGTATGGTCCCGTCCCTCAACCGAATGCACTCCCGAGACTGCCGAACGCAACCGCTGGCAGCAAATTCGTAGGAAAAGAAGAACAAGCCCCGTGGATGCCACAACTGGTGGCACAGCCCAGTTCAACTAGCCTGCCACAACCAAGACCACCATTACAAGACCACCATGTGGACAGTTACGAACCGCTACAACTTTCCCAACACACCACAACGATGGATATCTACTATCATGGACACTGCAAATACCCGACACCTCTGACAGCCTGCAGCGCAAACAAGGCTGCAGACCTCAGTGACAGCCTGACCTACGCTACACAGATGGGATCCGAACATGAACCATGGTCATGCAAGTAACCCACTCACTGGGGACTAAGCCCAGGTCCCACCGGGAACACTCCTGCCCCTATGCCTCTTCCATCCCTCCCCCCTACCCCTTCCCTTACCAATCGCTACTCCCTGGCCAAACCTGAATACCATCTCTGGGGTAACTAACACGCAGGCCCCCTTACCCTGCCAACAACACCCCACCTCACACCTGGTGTCTCTATACCCAACACCAGGGATGAACTTTCTGAGACTAGTAATCCTGATGGGCCACGGCCCAAGTGTGAGTGAAAGAGAACTCTCTGTGGTCGGATTATACGAGAGGACTTGGTCACTTGTCCCCGTAATGCACTGATTCAGGGCCCTCCCATTCCTGAACCCCTGTAAATTAGAAGCTGAGGACTCACCAAGAGAATATCTGCTCCCTGACCCCATACTACCCATGAGTATACACACCAGTATACTCACCTCCTCTACCCCTCCCCACCCAAATTTTTTTTTAAATGTAAAAAAAATTAAAAACCCCGACAAGGACAAGAGATTAAGGCTGAAGGGAACCATAATGCATAATGTACAGATATATAGCTGTATAATGTATAGATAACGCTGTATGAGACATGTCCTCCTCAAATTGATAATTTGTATTTTACTGTGGTTACAAGGTTGGATGTTCCCTCTAAACTGCTCTACACTTACAGGTTTCCCAGCTTCTGACATGGAGTTGATAGAGCGCAGAAGCACCCTCACCCCCGTCCCTGCCTGACATCACATTAAAGAGCCACCTAGAAAATTGTACTAAGGAAGCCCGCACTATAGTCGGATAAATCCAAGAGCTAAATACGCTGACACTCCTCTTGTATGAGACTGCACCAAGGTACTTACACACCTGAAACAACAACCCCCGCAGCCCTCACTGCCGTCCCTCCACCCATCTTAACTAACCTCCCCTCGGCCCTAGGCCACGTGTCTCCGACCAACCTAGCGAGTAGCCTGAACACGAATATGTCAACAAATACTCAGGCTTGTTGTGTCGGCACTCCCTACCCCTCCCACCTGACCCTCTCCCAGAACTGACCTCCCCCACACCCGCTAGTCCAGATGATAGAGGAAATTAGAGCTAGCTAGATGAATGGACCCACCATATACTCTTAAATCTATCCAAGGAAGAGGGAAGGAAAGATAATGCAAATCCCCTGGACCAGAAACGACTGTCCGGCCCCCCCCAAGCCTCAGGTGCCCTGTACACCCACTCTACTGGTAAACCTTACCCTAATGAGGATAATGAGGACAAAGATGTATACAACGAGCCTTATTACCAATAACTAAAAGTCCTACACTCAGTAAGACACAGATATCTTAACATGCCTTTGCCTTTCTTGACTGATTCCGGATTCATGTTAAAACTATGCATATGTATG